ATTTATAATCTTAATTATCTTAAATCTACATATACCGTGTATAATATATGGAATGTATGCGTTATGCAGGAGATAGTTTTTGATTTAATTAGTTTTGTTTATTGTCTAAAATGTTGGCAATAAACTTGAACTTTATTCCTTAAGAAAAAAAAAAATAAAAGTTTTATTACACATACTATAACAGTATGGTATATGGGCATATGATATACGTGTAACTTATGAAGTTTTATGAAGAAGAATGTACAATTTTTCAAAATAGAATACAAACATATTTGAAAAATTTCTGTGTGGCGTAGTGATGGTTTTTAATGACTTATAATTGCTGAAGAAGAAAAAAGTAGAATAGAGGCTTCAGTAAATTGTATATATATATATATAAAGTATAAAGACAAAATAAAAAACAATTTGATAAAATATTCTTGCACACAGTAAAGTTTTATAATATATTATTATGAAATGGAATCCTCGAATATAATAGGCATTTTCAATAAAATGTAATTTTTATAATAATATTTTATTTTAAATAAAATTTTAAAAAAAGTTGCAACTTCTCAACATTACTTCTAATATTTACTGCAGTAAAATGCGGTAAATAAAACATGCGTGCAAATACATGTATTTGCACGCATGTTTTATTTACCTTTTCATAAATTACTTTGCTAAAAGTCCATCCAATTGTATGTTGGCAAGAAACAAAGATACACAGCACCCGTGTAATTTAGCAGGGTTGCCTTAACAGGATAAACAACAGTATTTTTAGATACACATTTTTGAATCACTATACTTCTTCTTGTACCTATAATTTGTAATTTGAACGATTTTATAATTTTTTGTTTTATTTAAATAAATGTTCATTCGGGATATTGGTTACAGAATATTATATACGTTGGTTGATCAATAATTAATGTGTATAACCAAAAAAACATATTTTACGAGGTTTCTACTGAAAGGAAATAATATTCTTACGATTATATCTATGTACTATAAGTTTCGAATAATATTTATTATACATGCTGTTACTTGACATTATTAAATATAATACTAATATAACGTACAAACATTAATAAATTGCAAAGATACAACAGAAAAAAAATTCTAAAACTTTAACATTTGTCCATTAATTATTATTAAACTTATTAAACGTACTAATATGAAAACATATGCGTTATACAAGAATATTTTGAACTATATTATACAAAAATTATAAAAATTATTTTACTATTTTACTGATAACAAAATAAATATGTACAAGTATACTTAAATATTATATTTAAATAGGTAAACAACACAAAATAATTTTTAGTTACATACCGTGTGAGGCGTCTTAAAAACAATCTGTTCAGAAGCTGTTCACATTACACTTGCACTGACAAAAACTAAAAATATAAAATCTAAAAAACAATTTTACATTAAATTAAACATTAAATGAACATATATTATTTGTAAATAAATTATCAACATAATACCCAATAAATTGTGAAATGTTTATAAGTTTATTTCGCGGAATATTGCGTTTTTGAGCAGCGGTCGACGATTGAGTGGTGCTAATAGCAAATGAGGGCGAATTGAAATATTTTGGGATGCAGCCAAACTTTGGCCAATATTAACCTGACAAATTTAGATTTTATACGTGAATATGTACGTTATAAAACGTCTTGTACTTCAATCAATATCATTCAAATGGATAGTTTGGCATTTATCATATGTTATTGTAATTGATGCATATATTTCATATATTTCATAATAAAAGTAATGTACATATACTAATTAGTTATTAGTACAATATTTTTACAGGCTATGTACTATATTTTTAAAGTATATTTTCAGTTTAAAAATAATAACAGATTAGGAGTTACCTAATTATGTGCAATTTGATTAATAAACAAAAAAAATATTACTAAAATTTATTACTGATATTGTACTAAAAATTTTAATAATAAAGAAGTGGGGTAGAGGGGGGCTCTGTATCATATCATTGTACATTAAAAAATGTGTAGTACGAATTTCAATGAAAAATAGTGGCTGCATTAGTCAGGAATTCTATCAGTGAGATTGACTTCTCCATTCATGTATCAAAATACCTTAAAATATTTTATTATTTAGTATATTAATAATTTATTATTCTAAAATATACAGGTTATGTAATTCAAATAAAGAAAAAAACTTTAATATATGAATTACATTAAAGGGAATAAAAGCGATAATTGTTGATAAAACATATGGATTTATATAGACATATAGACGTTTTATTTTAATAATTTACTATGTAGCCATCAAATTATTGATGCGATAAGGGTTTTGAAAACTGATTTAAATAATTCATTAAGTTTAATTTAAAAAGACCGGCAGTCATCAAAACCACACACTTACCGTTCATAACCGCACATTTTACATCGTTCAATACCACACATATTTATTCTATTGTTAAAAAAGGAAATTTGAAAGGTCGGTAGTTCAAAACCGCATACATTTGGTTAACAGTTCCTTTCTCTCTGCAAACTTTGCATGTAGAGTTTACGTTACCGGTTTCGTATGAGTCCCACACAAAATCTTTTTTTTATCCTGGGACCTACTTGGGGTGATGTTACATAGCAAATCGGGAGACATTTTCGTTTTTAACTGACCGAGCGAGTGAGGGACCCCGCTCGGTCTCGATTTGCACTCATGTTATTTTAGATAAATGTATATGTAATTAGTATATATATATATTTATAAATTTGTGCGGTATTTAACGGTTTAATTTGGCGAAAATATGTGGGATTCAGATATAAAAGTGTGCGGTTATGAACGACGCCTAAAAACATTTATAGTTTTTAATTTTTTCTTTAAAGTTCTAAAAACCTTTTTCATTTAAATTTATTTAAATCGATAAAATACAAATTTAAATGTGAAAGAGTTGTTCTCCAGTAATGTTATAGGTTATACAGTGGGTAATATTACATATAAATAGTAAGTACTATACAAAGTTTTCCTATTTTATGAAAGTTGGTAAGTACACAATCAATTTTTCGACAATTCTAAATTAATTATAATATAAATTATTTTTCTTATCCTTGAAAACTAAAGCTATTGAGATTAATCGATTTGCTCGTGAATGTCGGTCTTATAGTATATAATGAAAAATAAATTATATAACTTTAAACGTTACTTGTAATTTTGTAACTATTAAATTATTAGTACCTAATATTGTAAGATTTGTAGGTATTTTTTATTGAAACTATTATTTCGATTATTTTCCATTTTAAGATTTTTTATTTGAAATTTAATTTTTAAGTCCCTATAAATACAGGTAAAATTAATAAACATACCTATATGGCTAAAACTATAAATTGTATCATTTTCATTTACATTTAAATATTAACATATCGTGTTCTTATTAACATATTCTAATTAAATGTTTAGTTAATCTTTTTACAAGTGAACACTAATACACATTTATCATTTCTGTATTTTCTTTTCTATGAGTGTTGATTTTACCTTGATTTTTATCGCCAAGAGCAATATTATAGTTTGTTTTCTAAAAATAATTTTACTGGGTCAGTGGGTGTAGGTTATATAAAATACTGTACAATGTGCATGTTCACTTCATCTTCCGTACACATAATGTATTTCATTTGCACGTGTCGTGTATACATTATTCAAATATAGTGCAATTTTTATTTGATTAAGGACATCGAAATATTTTTGGCGAGCAATCAATAACAATTTGAATTTTTTTTTCATTGTAAACTAATATATGGCATAAGTTATACATATTTTGAATTACTTATGTCTTTTAAATTTTAAATTTTTATCATAATTTATTAATTTATTTTTTTACTTGTTTCATTTTTAACCATATTCGTAAAAATAATATATTTAAGTGGATCGGACTGCTTTAAAAAACGCTTATTCAAAATGATTGATTATTGTTGACATTAAAGAACATACCTAAAAATATATGTTTTAATCTATCTTAATAAAAATACATATCTATAAAGTGACATTAAAACGTAATACCTAGCTTTTTTTATTGATCACACTTAGTATAATTTTAAAGTAATTAATAGATAAATGTAAAATGTTTACCCCTGGGTGACTTGTATCTAAATGCAGTACTGCATACATAGCCGTCAGGTCTTCCGGGGACCCTGGCTAAATTTGTATGGAGAGTCCATAATTTCAAAAAATTTATAAATGATCATGACAATCATTGTTATTTATATTTTTTTTGTATTTTTAATTATTGGCAACCTTTAGTGAACTAAAAAAATAACTATTATAAAAAAATCAATTACACAATTTGTAAAATAAAACCTATATTTAAATATACTGTATACATAATAATTAATGTAAATTATTGCATTAGTTATGTACCTATACAGTATATATATATATATATATATATATATAAGTTGTAACTATTACTATGGGTATACAATTACCTATTATGAAATAAATAAATTTAAAAAATAAAAATAAAACAACAATACCTATGCAATTAAATAAATTATTATTATAATTTATACAGATAAAATTTAAAAATTATTGATGAACAAAAAATCTTCTTTTTTTAGGAACGATGAAAGGAACTAGATCCTTTCTTCAAGTGATAAACGGCAAAAAATTATGTTCCTTTTTAAAGAATCTTTCCAAGCTCTAATAATAACATTATTAAAACCTTATCAACTGAATACTGAATATTGATTACTGTTTAAATTATATGTTATTAATGATTATTATTATTATTATTATTATTATCATCTAATTAATTCTATCTTTTTTTATATTACCCACCCTTAACATACTTTTTTTGGTCGTTTACAGAGTTGCAGAACAACAGTTCCAACGACACTATCAATTGACAGATTTGTTTTTCGTATAATATTGTGATTAAGCTAACCTAACGACTAGTTTCCCACAATGTTATCAATGATAAATCTTATCATATATATGTTCACAGTGATAATACGTTATTAGTGATACCTTATCAAAACTTTATCAATAATTTTTGGCCAGTGAAAACCGCAGTTATTAAGAAACCTATGTTAAAACTTCAAAATTATCTAAGAATTCTTAATAAATGTATAACATTACATGAAAATTTAATAGATATTCGTTGTTAATAATTTATTTGTTTAAATTTAATCTGGTAATTAAAAATAAAGTATAAAGTCCTTTAATCTTCAATTTAAAACCTTGACCATAATTATTGAGCTACATTTAAAGTTCAGACATTAGAAATAAGTAAACTTTCACAGAAAAATCAAAATGGTAAATATGCTATTGAAGTACTAACAAAGTTTCAAGCATTTTATATATTGTCACGCCTAAAGAAGTTGTCAATGAACCGTAGATATTTGATATTTTCTGTTGTAGATGTTTTGTTTCATTTATCATTGTAGTTTCTGTATTATTTAATTCTTATACATTTTAATTAATAATTGATGTTTAATTAATTTAATTTAATTTTAGTTACAAAAAGATGTCAAATTGGATAAGACATGTAAAACATGGCAATTAGAAAAACACATTGATTTTTTACAATCTTTTGGCAAAGAAAGACATCAATACGTAAATAATAAAATTTAAAAAATAATTATATTTAACAGTCAAATTATTATTTACAATTAAATTTAATTATGACTTACAGGAAAGTAGTATGATGGAATTTCTTCGAATGTCCGGCATGTACTGGGGATTAACAGCATTATATTTGATCAATGATGGCAATATACCCAAAGAAGATGAAATATTTGAGTTTATTAAAAGTTGTGAACACAGTTGTGGAGGATATTCACCAGCTCCAGGTCATGACCCACATTTATTGTATACGCTCAGTGCTGTTCAGGTTAGTAAATATTTATCATGCATACTATAATTCTTGAGGATTTTAATATTTATTTTAATTACAGATATCTTGTTTACTTAATCGAGAATTAGAATTACCAATTGAAAAAATTGTGTCTTATGTTTCTAAACTTCAAAAAGATGATGGTAGTTTTACTGGAGATAAATGGGGAGAAGTGGATACTCGATATTCATTTTGCGCCTTAGCTTGTTTATCTCTTTTAGTAACTATACTTGAAATATATACATTTTTTACATTACTATTATTTAGCTGATTTCATGAATTAGATAATTTTTTAGAGTAAACTTAATGAAATTGATTTAGCTAAAGCTATAGATTTCATCAAGAGCTGTCAAAATTTTGATGGTGGTTTTGGATCACGGCCTGGAGCTGAAAGTCATGGAGGTTTAATATATTGTTGTGTTGGAGCATTATCTATTGCTGGTATTTTTAATACTTGTTTAATTTATTTTGCTTGAAAAAATTGTTTTCTTTATTCCTACATTATATAAATAATTCATTTTATAGGAAGATTAGATTTAGTTGATGCTGACACATTAGGCTGGTGGTTAGCTGAAAGGCAATTACCATCTGGTGGACTTAATGGTCGTCCTGAAAAATTACCTGATGTTTGTTACTCTTGGTGGGTGTTTTCTTCATTAAATATTTTAGGGCGTGATCATTGGATTGATAAAGATGAATTAAAAAATTTTATTTTAGCATCTCAGGTAATAATAGTAATAAATTTAGTATAATAAGTATATTAAATTTTTAATATATAATTTTATCTACAGGATACTGAAGGAGGTGGATTCAGTGATCGCCCTGGGGATGAACCAGATCCATTTCACACCCTTTTTGGTCTTGCTGCATTGTCATTAATGTCGTATGATAAAATATTACCAATAGACCCTACTTATTGTATGCCAAAATCTGTTATAAGTCGTTTGGGTTTGAAACCTCAAATATTATCCCGCCCTTAAAATTTAAATCTACATATATATTTTTTTTTTAATCAACAATTATACTCATTGATTTTTACTAAAAAAAATTTTTTATAGGATCTTCATTCATGACATATATTACTCTTCTTCCCTATACTTTTATAAGTTTTAATTTAATTTTAAATTAAAATAGTTAAAAATACCAAATAAATTTTAAAAAAATGTTGTTCAATAGGAAAACTTGTTTCACTATCCTCAGTTTGGTATATAAATATTATTGAATAAATAGTTTGTTTACTCGTGAAATATTATAGTCTAAAGATATGTATGAAAAATAAAATATGTAAAAATTATTCTTCAGATCACAAAACACAAAATATTTTGAATGTGAATGTGTGCTATAAGGTTCTTAAATATTTTAATTGATCATAGTTTATATTAGAATCTGGAACCAATCCGAAAAGAGCTGGAACCTTTCCAAAACACTTATTCAAATTAATTTTTAAAAATGGGGCCTTGCTGGAACCCTTATTAGAATTTAATTGAAATCCAGAACCTCATCGGAATCAATACTTTTTTATAAAGATTTTTTACAGTTAATTTCGGTTTTTTATTAATATATGTCATTAGTATAAAATAAAAAATAAACAAATACATAGATATATTCTTATTATTATTATTTGGATTTATAAAATTCAAAAATCATTCAAGTATTACCTTTATAATTACAATTGTAAGTACCTTTACAAGGTACCTACAATTATTAATTATTAATTATTATCAAGTCATAATGTCTTCTTCACCTTTTAAATTAAATTAATATATTTAGTATACATAATTTTTATACAATTCAAAAACTAGTGACAAATATAACTTTATTTTAAATCAACTAATTTAATCAACAAAATATCAAAACCACAACATGACGTTGGCAGGTTCAACAATTTTAACACAAATTATATAAATTAACAAAATTTTACTGTAGCTAATACTCTTAAAATATTAGCCAAGTATTATAAGTGTGTTTTTGTATATTTGATGTTGATTTTTTTAAATCAAAACTGGTCATTAGACCTACATTTATTTGCACATTACAAACAATACTCCATGATATATATTTTTATTAGTATATTCAATACTTAATTTATACAGATATTATTAGAAATTTTATAAAAGTTTTAATAAATTTTTTATATATTTAATAATATTTTATCTTAAATATGGACATTATGTACAGTAAAAAATTACTATAGGATTATGAAAATATGAAATTAGTAACACAATTTATAAGTATCAGAAAAATATTATACAGTAATAAAAAAAAATTTTAACTGCAGAAAAATGAAATGTATGTATCTAACAGTGCAATATAAATAATAAATTACAAACATAATAATACAAATAGTAAATTAATAGCAGAAAAAAATGAATAATAATTAAATAAATAAAATTAATTTACATTATAAATAATAAAAAAATAATAATACATGATAAAAAAAGATAGAAACACATTATTGTCACATAAACTCACATAATGGTAAAAATATGCAGAGTATGGTTTGTAAATATACTTTAATGTAACAGAGCCACTCTGTTATCACGTCATGTTTGTCACATCACCTCACAAGGGCCGTCCCGAAGGGAGTGTCTCCCCCCCCCCCAACGAAAACATCAGTCGGCAGTCGGACTTGTTTCATTATAGCCTAGAAGGACCTAAGTTTACCTACAGAAAACAAATATTACATATTTCGTAGTACAGTGTATACATAAATAAAATTTGTGTAACTACTTATATTATACAATATAAAATATTATTATATAAGTATATATAATTAAATTGTCAATTTTAAGAACGTGCGACACTAACACATATATAGATATATGTTAAAAAGTAAAAATACGACTACATATAGTTAATTATACTACATGCATTGAGTAAAAAAATTGTAGTCGGCATTTTTCATATTATTCACCTCCCCTTTATTTTCATCTTCTGGATGACCTTCACCTCACCAAAGTTTTGCGTGAAAGTCAGTTTTTATTTTCTAAACATCCGCATTTATAGTTGTACGTTACGTTACAATTTAATCCAAAATTCTAGTTTTTTTCGCTTTCAAGTTCAATTTTTTATTAAAATGGAAGAAAAATTAATAGAAAAGGTGCGAGGACCTACGGTTTTATATACCTAACCACGGATCTCGTGATTACCATGACCAACATATATGGTGTTGCGTGTCAGTTTAAGTGTACAGACTATTGCAACAGGAAAGGAATACAGACATCGTAATAATCGTAATACATAATCGTACAACTTCTCAATCAATTAAGTTATCGGTAGTGATGAATTAAAAAACTAAAGACTTTTAAATATTCACTTTATTAAATAAATTCTAAGTTCAATTGTATAATTTTATAAAATAATTCTAAGTACAAATTAAAATATTAAGTTAACCGGCGTGAAGATGCATGTACTGGGCTAAAACACAATACTGAATATTGGTCTATTAATAACCCCCTTATATACTTAGATCTCGTGAGAATCAATATGCGACATTATGGCTTTATAATATAAAAGTTGTTTTTAATTATTGTTAACACCTTGAGGTTCTAAATGCGCATGTTTTCAGATTTATTACTTTACTGGTTGACCTCGTTAATATTGCCTCTCGCCAGGCCCTATTATTTGTACGATTTCGGACTGCACACTTAATTTTACTGCTTTAAATAAAATTTTAATCTTACTACTATCTTAGAAAAAGGAATATATTACATACATAATATATATATATATGCATTACATTTTAAAAAATTCAATAATACTCATATTTCCTAGTAATTGGCTTATTATTTAATTTTTGTTTTGTAGACCGTAGCGCATACTTGTACATTCGTGGTGCACATAAAAATAGGGCCTGCCTCTCGCACATATCTCATATTTCGTTGTGCACTATTATTAAATGCATTTTCAATATTACTTTGAAATGCCACCATACAACTCACATTTGCATGTGTTTGTGTTACCCTCTAGTCCTATAATTGTGCTAATAATTTCTTTTTATATCGTTAACACAAGTTTTATATTATTTATTATTCTTGTGGTTCTTCTATGTAGTATGTCCTGACAACGGCAAACACCGTGTGAGGAAGATGGAAAAGAGCTGAATATTTCAGGTCGTAGCAAAATTGTTAAATTGGTTATAAATTATAAAATTAATAAATAATTTATAATAAATTCAATTTTTTCTCCCTAGTCCGACGAACAAGTAGAGCTTGCATATTTCATTTTGTAAATATTAACTATTTTAACATTGAAATTGAAACAAATTTCTCGAAAGCATGGTGACATTGTTGGTGTGAATGTAGTGTGTTTCTGTTTTATCTTAAACATTTTTGAAGTAGGTATTTTAAACAGAAATTATTAATTAAGTAAATTAAACAAACAATGCAGGTATTATTACATATTATTAATATTACATTAATTACGATCGTTCCAAGTCATGACAATAAGTTTGTAAAATCTTACGAATTTGATTTAATTCTTATCATAGAATATTTTTTTTTTTTTAATCAGTTATTAAAAATGCCTTTTACAATTATAATCATTATTGTAATTTTAGTCACTTAACAATTTTTAGGGCTAAGGAGGCTAAGACCTATACTTTGCATTTCTGGGGGGGAGCTTAATTCCCTCAAGTCCTCCCACCGAATTCCGCCTATGCGTCAAATACATCCTTACGGAATGCCGATACTACGAAAAAGGAAGGATAAAATTGAACCTTACGGACCAGCTCCCTGAATCACTCAGCCCCGAACAGAGCAATTTTACAACGATCCTGGATTTTCTTCACAACACAGGATTATTCCATAAAATATAATCTATATATTAACACACTGTCTTTTTATTTTCGTTTTTATCTTTATTGTATTTATATAATCATGTATAATACTGTATAATACTAAACAATATAATGTTTTTCCAATGGCCATAGAAACCGCGGACTTTGTTTTGTTAATAAAAAATAATAAAAATTTGTAAAATTTAAAAAATAGTTGATCATATTTTTATGATTGTTGCTTATTGATGTCATTAAAACCTGTGCAAAAAAATAGCGAAAAATAATGAATAATATTACACAATATTATAAGGCATATTTCTAAGTAATAAAATAAAATATTCAATAATAATACATCAATATTAATAATAAGCAGTAAATCAATAAATATAATAAAAAATTAATCATAAAAATTAAGATATACGAGTATATGCCCTCGACAGCATAATTCAATATGCCGCGGCGCCGTCTTAAATATTGTACTTCGGGTGACGTCTGTTGATAAGGAATGGTATGGGGTGATAAATTCATTTACATGACTATGAGGCAACCTTATTATTTATAAACCTTACGAATATTCAACCTTCGACGGAAAGATAACTTATCTTAGATAAGATTATTGTCAATCTGTTACCCGTATGTATCTATAACAGTGGTTCTCAATCTTTTTAAGACTGCGACCCAAATTTTCTTCCAAAAATCTACGCGACCATAGTCTTACATTTACAGAATCAATAAAAATAATTTCAAAAAACAAATTTTTTTCTCTTTTATTACTTATTTACTACTTTATAATAATAATAATAAAAATAATAAAGTTTTTTTTATTATTATTATTAATATTTAAATATTTAAATATTTTCTATTAGTTCTATAGTCTATAATAATTTATACAATTTAAAAAAACATAAATTTCTTACAATCTGTATAATTAATAAAACTTCTCGCGACCCCCCAAATATTGACTCACGACCCTCTAGGGGGTCGCGACCCACAGTTTGAGAAACGCTGATCTATAATAATAATAATATTATATACTAATTAATACTATATTATATACTAATTATATACTGTAATATATAATGTAATATTATATACTTGCTACGGCATTGCTAATCGCTAAATTGTGTTCTAATAACTTGTTAAAAATACTATACATGCAGTCATTCGCTACTCTCAGGCGCCTTAAGAGGATGGCACATAGGCATGTATTGTCTCCGTCTGGTTTACGTTCATCATAGAAAGTTTGCGTTCAGTATTTCAAATGTAGTGAAGTTAGCTTTAATATTAGAGTAAACTGATCTATAATCAAAGTTTAAGGGAAGTATCTGTGTTTTATTGATCGGTTTTTCCGATATTTTAGTTTTTTAGTGAGTTATAATGTTATTTTAATTGTTATATTTTACATACTCATAACTCGCTAAAAAAAACTAAAATATCGGAAAAACCAACCAAACACAAATACTTCCCTTAAAGTTTGATTATAGATCAGTTTACTCTAATATTAAAGCTAACTTCACTACATTTAAAATACTGAACGCAAACTTTCTACGTTGTTCGTAAACCAGACGGAGACAATACATGCTTGTGTGACGTTCTCTTAAAACTTCGTTCAAACATGGAAGAGGAAACCGCCTCACCGGTTTCACTTTGCTTTATATTCACAGAATATATCAATGAATGTTGATGATATTATTTCTAATTTTGGAAAAACAAAACAAAGAAGATTAAATTTTGTAATTAAATTTTAAAAATTAAAAATTAATTTATTAATATAGTAGGGGAGCGCGTCCGATGTAGAACGCACAATCCAATATAATATGTGGAAAATTAAACAGTCAAAATCAAAAAACAATGCCCGATAGTACAATGGTGATTATTATGGTGATAAACATTAGTACTTGTGCCAGTTACGTGAATTAATACAGTCGATACACAAAACACAATTGACAGAAATAATGGTTTCTGATGAATGGTCCTTGACGTGAGATCATGGTTTTCCAGACGCGAAATACATGCATCGACCGACTCCATGGCAGTCCGTGTCCGACGTCCTCGCCACCAATCCAGATTCCCCTCCTATGATGGATTGGAAATGGAGTGTCGTGATGATGGTACGATCCGCAGTCTGGTGGTTGATTGAAAAATTCGACGCGATCATCGACGGCCGATGTCATAATGGTCGCCGCGAGGTCCGCGTCAATATCATTCTAATTTTAATTAATAATTTCATTTCATTATTTTGTAATTATGTGATATCTTTTTGTCCTTTCGAAAAAATGACCCCTTCCCAATTTGAGTTCTAGATCCGTGTTTGACACTAATCATATTTTATTATATTTTTTAAAAAATCAAAACAAAATAATATTATTCTTACATACATGTAATCGTTTTAAGTTATTAAATTATACTTATTAGTATAATTTCATAACTTAAAACGATTTTTTCATTTTTTAAGAACCGAAAAGAAACCGAAACCTAAATTTTATTTTTTAAAACCGAAAAAAAATCGAAACTGAAATTTAAGTTTTTAAGAACCAGCATCAAAAACGGAAATTATTTTTATTTTAAAAACCGGAACCGTACAATTCATTAGAGTTCCAGTCCCTCGTTTAAATGGTACTATTTATACAGGATTCCTACATTTTATTGTAATTTTTAAATGTTACAAATAAAATGTCTAAGTTAATGCCCTAATCTTCTACTAATGTATAACAATTATAATCTATACATTTTTAGTATTTTAGAAAAAATCATATTTAAAAATTATTATTTAAATTTGCTAATGTGACCTTATTTTCTATCTATACATGTATCGTATGATACATTGTTATTTTTAACCAAAATATACAAAAGTTCATAAAACTCTTATTTGTTAAAAAATAGTATGAATTATTTTTATGCATATAATCACATAAAATATAAATAAAAAATATTTCTTAAAACCGAGTACATTTTCAACATTTTAAATTCCAATGTTACATCTTATTCGTTTTAAATTCAATTCAATAGCCAAAAATTCAATATTTATAAAATATGAAAGAAATAATTAAGCTATTTATAAATAACTGGTTGCAGGAGCGTATCAAGGAATTTTTTTATAGGGGGGGTCCAACATTTTAATTTTATCTATTCTCTAATTATAATTATAGTTAAACTCTATACCAACAAATTAGTATTAATATACTATAGTATGGCTTATACATCCAGGCGTGGATCCAGAATAGATTTACGGGGGGGGGGGGCATCAAATAATATCAATTAATTATCAGGGTTTATTATGTTATATTATTTTGACACTAGTATAATAATGATTGAAATTAAATTTACCTTTAAGTAGACCATAAAATATATATACAAACATTTTTTTTTAAATATTTAGGTTTCTCAAGATTTTATTTTATTGCTTATCAAATGTTTAATTACATTACTTTTTCTAAATTTTACTGTAATTTATAATTTATGATAAATTCTAATGAAATATACAACTTAAAGTTAGGTTAATTTCTTATTATTTATGGTTTTTAAATTGCAAATGGAATTTTTCTTTTGCTTTTGGAGAAACGTTGAATTAATTTTTCAACATCAATGGCAATGTCTCTGTGAATGTTTAATAATGCAAGTCCAGTCAAACGTGTTTCACACATTGATGATCTTAGCCATGTTTTAAGACGCCGTAGTGAAGAGAATGACCTTTCAGAGCTAGAATTACTAATGGGTAATGTAATTAATAATTTTAATATTTTATTTATTAAAGGAAAAACATCTTCATTACAATTCTGTAATACTTCAATTGCATGGTTAGAAATAACTGATGAATCATTTTGAAATTCACGTATCCAATTCTCTTTCCAAATATAGTATTCACCAACTAATCGGGAGGATAACTCATTTTTATTAAGCAATTTTTGAAAGTTTTTAGCAACTGATTTTATTTTGTCAGTTTCTTCTTTTTGGTCATTTGGTAATTTTAAAAAATTAGATGGAAGAAAAAAAGATAACTGAAATAATTCCAATGTATTTTGGGAAAAACATGTTTTTAAGTCATCTATAACATTATCCAATAAAGGAATGAATATCGAGATTCTGTAATAATCTTCTACGTTGTTAGTAAAATAGTTTGATCGATTTTTTTGTTGTTTACATAATCTAGGCATTCGTAATTCTACATCGATAATGTTTGCTAAATCTTCAGATGATTTAAAAATATTTGAAAATTCTGTATCAACATTTTCACGACATTTGGAAAGAACTTGTAATGTATCTTTTATAGTATTTGCTGCTGTATTCAATTCTAAATTTTTTTTTTTGGAAAATTTTGCTTAGACAATAAGTGAAATTGAGCAAATGCGCAAAACTAAAAAAAACAATAATAAATTCACTGTCAAATTATGTTGTTACAAGTATTTTTGCTTTTCCAGAAGTTTGGGAATCTTTCCATGTTGTAATTTCAGTTAATGTATTAATAATTTTAGGCATGTCTTGTAAATACCTAGTAACTCCATCATGTCTCTCAACCCATCTCGTTTCGCATAGTCCTGTTAGCTGATGGCCAACATACTTCTTCAAAATAACTGTACGTTTTGCTGCCAACAACCTCTTTAATAATTCCAACTAAATTTCGTATACTTTGAACTTTACTTGATTTTGAAATAGAAATATTAAGAGAATGGTTGTAACATGGACATCTACGGACATTCGGTGAACTCTTTATAATTTCAGCTACAGCTCCACAAATTTCTGATGTCATAACACTGCAACCATCAGTACCAATACCTACATATTTGTTAAGATTCAGACCCATTTTTCTCAGTTGATTTAAAACAATTTGCTCTAGCATTTTCCCAGTTATCGATATTTCTTCTACATTTTTGCAACTTTCATAATTTTCAAAAGAACTGTCTATATTTACTTCTTCATCATCACTTAATTTATTAGTAGAACTCCTTAGTTGAATAAGTTGAGCTTCGTCAAATGCATCTATAAATGCCACAAAATCTTCTCTAATTGTTATTTCATCAATATATCTTATAACTAAACTAATTTGCGATCGTTTAGACACATCTAAGGTTTCATCAAAAATTGTACTGTAAAAAATATCCTTGTCTGTAATTTTTTTTTAAAATACTGTCTAAAATTTCTTTACCACATAAATCGATTAACTCGTTCTGTATTGTCTTACTAATATGAGTTGCTTTTGAAGAAGAATTTTTCAGATGATTTTCAAGCATAAAATCTCCAGCTTTGACTCGAAATTTTAAAAGTTCTTTAAAATTACCTTCGTTTATTGAACTTCTTCAATTAATTCAAATTACATAAAACTAAAAAGACGCACTAAAAACCAACTTAATAACGCAATAACAAATGAGTTTAACAACACGAGCGACGCGCGACTGTCATCGATAAATTAATTATATAATATACCTATAATGATTATAGGTATATTGTATAATCTATAAACTTTGTATTTTGAAGATAATAGGAAATTAAAATACATTATATATTATTATTATACTATTTACTATTAAACCGTTGAGTATGTAGAAATGTCAATGGAGGGTCCGGACTCGAACCCCCCCCTTGGGTACGTCCTTGACTAGTTGTAATACCTAAGTAAAAACTAATTTATTTGTAGTAAAATAAGTACGATATTAATTGAATCTGTGTTAAGTATTATATTTTATAAGTTATAAATTATATCATTAAATTATTTTAATGCCCCAATCTTCCTTAATCATGTCAGCACCTTTTTCTCCTATCATAATCGTTGGACCATTGGTATGTGCTACTGGAATTTCCGGTATAACTGATGCATCAATAACCCTTAAATTATTTATTCCATGTACTCGTAGTCTTGGATCCACCACTGTTGAACGATCTTCTTTTGGTCCCATTTTGCATGTACCTGACAAATGATAAATAGTAAAAGTTATGTAGCGAGCAGTACATTTCCAATACTCGTCGGAATCAAACGTGTGTTGAACACATCCAGGTAGTGGAGTACTGAGTATTTTAGCGTCGAGTTTCTGCATCGCGTCAGTTTTTAGCATTTTTTGAACAATTCTTACTCCGGCAACAGCTACGTCCAAATCTTTTTCATTAGCAAAGTAATTTGGATCAATTAATGGGTAGTGAAATGGGTTTGCATCTCGCAGCCATATACGACCTTTACTTTTTGGTCGCATAATCATTGGAAATATCACAAATCCATCCATTTTTTCGGTGGGCTTATAAACTTTGTTATAAATATCTGTATTAAAACCAAATACTTTGTACAAAATTTCAGAAGATGAATATTTTCCTGATGTTAGTAACAATTCTAGATCTGGATATCCGTCTGTAGAAGAATTTTGGTTTGAATCAATAAAAGCTAAGGCTTCTGCGCCCCCTGGTATTGTAAAAGGACCATTATAATGTACTAAATAATCGTTTATGTTATTAGGATTATTTATAATTCTATCTGTCGACAATGAAATTGATTCATTAATTGTAATAGATAAACTTCCCAATGCCACGTGATCCATTAAATTTTCACCGACTGGTAAATTTTCCACTAATGAGATTTTATGATGTTCTAAATGTTCTTTTGGGCCGATCCCTGATAACATCAATAACTGTGGAGAATTTATAGTACCCCCGGAAATAATTACCTCTTTCCGTACGAATACTTTATATATTTTTCGATTAGAAACAAATTCCACCCCTATGGCTTTTTTTGTTACGTTATTTATTAGTATTCGTGTTACCATGCTTCTTTTTTTTACGTGTAAATTTGATCTACCTTTGGCCGGGAAAAGAAAAGCTGTATTTGTACTGCAACGACGACCGCCTTTCATAGTAGCCTGAAATAATTTTACAAAATAGTATCAAATTCTATATAAATTCAACGCATACTCTTATAAAATATTATATTATTTTATTTTAATTTAAATTAATTAAAAACAATGACTTTAAATTATAACTCATGATCAGTGCTCAAATTGAGCCCCACCCTACGGGTGCGCAGGTGGACGGAGCGTATCAACTATTTTTTTTTTCCGTACCCCAACTATATTTTTTCACTGGAACGGGGAAACGCCACGTTCACCCTTACAAATGTCCAAAATAATTTTTATTAAAATTTGGATTTCAATTTACGTCAATTTTATAACGTATATTACGATTTATATATAAAAAATATTTTTAATATTCGTTTATTAACATGTTGATCTCCGCTAGTATTATCACTTATCAGTGTCCAGCCTATGTTTGTCGAAATTACGTTCGGTCGACTACACAGCATGCGGACTCGGACTTTTCACCGCGATCCTTTCGCCGCTGAACTATTCGCCGAAATCATTTCCCTGTGACTGTTTCGCCGACGGACTATTTGCCGCCATTCATTTCACCACGATCGTTTTGCCGCCGTTCATTTCGCCGTGATCGTTTCTCTGCTATCCTATTTTTTTTCGTACAATGTCAATAAAAAAATGCTGGTTAGCCATAAAATTTTAAAATTTTGTTACAATGTTTTTCTCACATTGTTTTTACTCGTGTGAAAAAATTTCAAAAATCCGCATTCACAATTTTTAAAAATAAGCGTTTGAATTTTAAATGTTTATAAAAATCACGAAATATGCCTATTTTTGGTAGTTAAAAGTTGATAAACATTCCAATATGTATACTTATGTAAAATTTAAAAATGTAATATAATGTACTAGAGAAGTTATTTTTTTCAGCGAACCAAAATAGTTTATCGGAGCAGCGCAAAAAATGTTATAAGCGTTAGAACAGGCACATAGCTAAGGGGTGGCCTGAGGTGGCCCGGCCACCCAAAATATTTACAGGCCACTCTGATGGCCACCCCATTACATTGAAATATTATTCAAATACCCAAGGCTCAAATAATTGGGTTACAAAATTAAATATATTTTAAAATTTCTATTATCATATTTGTTATTTTTTCATAATTGTCTTTCCGAACATAGTGTGACCATAGTGGTCAGATTACCAGGATATCAGAATTCAGAATAGAAATTGTTCATTCATACCCGTATTATTCGTCGTATTAACGACAATAATGCATCTATATTAATTATTATTATAAAGTCGCAAGAACTCGCATGTATTCCTATTCCAGTAAATCGGCATTTCCAATCGCGACATGACTTGTTAGTGGGTACCTTATAATCTATAAATATAAATTTAATCGCCGAGGTCTAATTAACTATAACAAATAATAATATAGTACTTATATGTGATATATAGTATTTTATTACAACAGCTATCAGTGAATGAGTATGTGACCCGCCTAATATTATTATTCACTTTTAATTTAAACATGTAATGTTGAAAAGTAACAATAATATTGTGTCGCTATAATTCTGTACTATTTTCTTCTTTACCTAGCAATACAGCTATTATTCAGTTGACGTTTGAAGACTTGTGGTTGTGGTTGTCGCGAATTGTGATCCATGTACAGTGTATTAATTTAATAACTAATAATAGTATTTATAACTAATATAATACATTTATATCTACTCATAGTTATTTATTTTAAATTGTACGTAATTTTAAATTTTTTGCCATGAAAAGACAAATAACAATGCAAAATTATTTTTCTGCTAAGAAACTTAACAACGAGAACAAAAATGTGGATTCTTCAGACATTATTATTCAAGGACAAGATGATATAACCAACAATCCAGGTAATAATTACGACACTACTAGTAGTACGGATAGTTATAGCAATAGCAATTCAGAATCAAATATCGGCGATTTAATTAAAAAACCGGAGCCGAATACCAAAATTAGTGTTGCTAGTGTTTTAAAAAAATGTCCGGGACCTTCAGATATTTCTCAAAATTTGAACAATGAACCTACACAACCAAATTTAACATTTTATCCGAAAACTAATTATAGTGATCGTTGGCGTCATTTTTCAAAACAATGGTTCAAATCATTTGCTTGGCTCGAATATAGTATTTTAGAAGACGCTGTCTATTGTTTTCCATGTAGAATGTTTTCAAAGCACTTTGACAATCAAACAACATTTATCAGTTTAGGATTTAAAAATTGGAAAAAGGCTTTCAGTGATAGTGGTTTAAAAAAACATGATAAAAGTCAAGACCATAAAAATTGTTATGTAATGTGGGTGTCTTATGAAAACATGAAAACCAAAAGTATTCCATCTGTTTCTGTTCAAATTAATGAGGGTCATTTGAAACTTATAAAAAAAAATATAAAATACATTAAACGCATTGCTAGCGTTTTATTATATACCGGAACACAGTGTATAGCACAACGTGGTGATGACGAAAGCGTAAAAAGCTTAAACCGTGGTAATTTTTTGGAACTTCTTCATTTAATAGATGAACAGTGTGAAGTTGTAGGCCAAGATGTTCCCCAAAATGCCAAATATACCAGTTCTCAAATCCAAAATGAAATGATCAGTATTTTCAATCAAATAATTTTGGAAAAAATTAGCTTTGAACTACAAAGTTGTAATTATTTTGCTCTTATAGTTGACGAAACGAAAGATATAAGCAAGACAGAACAGTTATCAGTAGTAGTACGTTATTATATTCAAGGTTCAATACATGAAAGGTTCATGGGCTTTAAGCCTGCTAAACAATTAAATGTCTTCCTTATTAAATTATATAAAAGAAATACTACAAAAATGTTCAGTAGATCTATAAAAATGTGTGGCACAAACTTACGACGGAGCAGCAGTAATGAGCGGTAGATTAAATGGTGTTCAAAAATTATTTCGTGACGAAGTTCCGCAAGCAATATATGTGCATTGTTCTAACCATAAACTAAATTTAGTTATTGCCGACATATGTAAAAATATTAGTGATGTAAAATTATTTTTTGATTTGGTTGAAGAGATATATGTTTTTGTATCAGGTTCGGCAGTTCATTCGCTTTTTATTGACATTCAAAAAAAAATTAACTTAAATTCAGTTGTAGAATTGAAAAAAAATCTGTCTAACCAGATGGACAGCACAAGTTTTTGCAACTTTGAGTCTTAAAAAAGTTCTAAGTCCATTATTAATTTTACTCCATAAATTAATTAGCGATAAAAGAGATCGTTCAGTTACCGCTAAAGGTCTTTTACATCAAATAGATTTTATATTTGTATTAAATTTGGTAGTATTTTCTAACATACTAACTATGTTCAAAAAAGTTAGTGATTTTTTACAAGGCGTTATTGCCGAAATAGCAGAAAGTATGGTTTTAATAAAATCGTTAATTATGACGCTTACAAATATAAGAAATGATTCAAATGATTGTCTTAACGAATGTGATGGATCAATTAATTATATATGTTTTGAAAAAATGTACGAAGAAGCTTTATATATTTGTAGAGAAAATAATATACCATTACCCAGTGAACAAATCCAAAAAATAAGAAAAAGCGTGTTCCTCAAAAGTTTAAATCATTTTTTATTGATGAAAACATATCATTAGAAAATGAATAAGCTCAATCAAAAAATGATTTTCGTACAAAATTATTTTTGCCAATTTTAGACAAAATAATTAACGAGTTAGAAAATCGATTTTCCATTAATTCCAGTATTTTGTATGCTATTGATTATCTACATCCAAAAAATGCCAAATTTCTGAGCTATGATGACCTAAAACCTTTAGCCCAACATTATAAATTGGATACACAATTACTAAAATCAGAACTTAAAATAATACCAAACACAATAAAAATTTACCAAAAAGAAAATCAAATAAAAATCACAAATTTGATGAATTTTGTTGATTTATTGGAAAAATATAAAATTGTTTTTAATGAAACATACAAGATGGTTATAATCTCTATTACAATTCCGGTATCAAGTGCAGGTTGCGAAAGGACTTTTTCTTGCCTAAGGAGACTTAAACATACATGCGAAATAAAATGACGGATGAACGCCTATCAAATTTATCTATGATGAGCATCGAAAAGAAGATAGCAAAATCTCTGGACTTGGAAGAAGTTGTAGATAAATTTGCTATAAATCATAATAATCGAAAAATTATTTTAATGTAGACTATTTTTTTAAATTGTATTTATTTTAACATACATTTCATGTATATATTTATTATTCATATACATTATAATAATTATATATAAGGTTTATATAATATTAAGATAAAAATTATCTAATTTATTTGCTTATCAAATTTAGTTCTTTTTGTACCTAATTACACTAATTATTATATTCAGAAATTACAATTTTATTATATTATAAACAATATACCTATACATAAACATAATTCTATAAGTGTCTAATGTGGGGTCCGTGGGGGGAAGTAAAACTGTTGGCCACTCAAGAAAAATATTGGCCATAACTGTGCCACCCTAATTATTTAATCCTAGCTACGTGCCTGCGTTAGAAAATTATATTTTGATGAAATTTAGTGTTTCCGTGATAAAATCCAAAATCGAGAATTAACTGAATTATCCGAATTCATTTGAACTAACTTTTAAAATTGATAATGAATTGATTATAACATAATATAAACATATTTATTATATAGTTGCGTAATATTAAAATAATAAACATTAATAATAATAATAATAATAATTAATAATTTTGTTATTTTTTGTATATTTAAAGTATTTTAGATTTTAAGTATCATTTTTGAAGTTTAGGTCAGTGGCGTATTTAGGGGTGGTGTCCTGGGGGGTAAAACTCCCATTTTTTTGTAGTTCTATTTATTACTGAAGTATTGCGAAATATTGTTGACGAATGACGAAATATTTTAAAACTGCTTTGAAAATTTAATAATGTATATTTCATCTTATACCAGAAAATAGGTATTAATTATACCTTATTCATTAGCAATATATTACTTGAACTTTCGC